TGGTTAAGGAAAATTATGCTGGACTTGAGGCAGGTTCAAGAAGAACCTACTGTAATTTTCTGTGACAACCAATCAATAGTGGCCATGGCTAAGAATCCAATCCTACATGGCAGGACAAGGCACATCAAGATCAAGTTTCATGCTGTGAGGGAAGCCGAAAGCAATGCTGAAGTAAAACTAATCCATTGCAGGGGTGAAGATCAACTTGCTGATATCATGACCAAGGGTATACCTAAAACCAAGTTTGAGAGTTTGAGACTTAGACTTGGTGTTTCCAGCAAGCTTATCAAGGAGGAGTGATGATGTAGGTGATAATCTGCTGGAAATGGGACAACCTTTTTGTTGGATATTCAAATATGTTTTGGAGCCAAAGTTACAGCTCATGTTTATTTTGTTAAGTTTGCAGTGGTTGTGGAGCAGATATTTAGCCATTTAAATGCAGATTTTGTGTCTTGTTTAGTTGAGACTTAAACTTGGTTAGGTGTTTGTTTTCTACTAAAGTTGATTTGTAATAAGTTTATTATATTGCAGTAGGTAATACAGTGTTAAAAGTCTGTATAAATGACTTTGTTTTATGAATGAAATATACAGACTAAGAAGTGCCTTTTTGCCGTCTCCTTCATTGCAAATATTCATCCTTTTATTTTTGGACTTCTCTTCCAAGAACCAACATAGACTGAGTTACATGCCCTTTGCTGATATTTATTTTGAGCATCATTTCGCAAACTTCAAATTGATCAGCTCCACTTTTGTTTTGTCTTTTTAAAAAGTGCTTCACCTGGGTCACATGTATCTCTATACCTTATCTCGCCAATCCCTTTCGGGAGCATGGATGGACATAGAAAAAGAAGATATAACATATAATCTGATAAACATTTGCTATTTTCACGCATTTGGTGAAAATCACCCTCATTTTTCTGTTTAGAATCATGATAGTAAGAAATATCAGTAGCAATATGACACGCAAGAAAGCTGTGGTCAAATTCTAGATTAATAGTGCTCCAGTTGAATTCATCAAGTTTTTCAAAATTTTCACGCACGTAATTACCTCTGTGAGCCAACAGTTCTTTGCATGACTTCATTGTATAATTGTCTTTGATTTTCTCAGCTCTATGTTTCAGCTGCTCGAAAATCATTCTTTGCATATCATCGTTCACAGCTTTCCGATACAAGTAATGGCACTCCTCTCTCCATTTGCTGACATAAGGCAGCTTCCGAACACCATTAATGAACTTGCCAGCTTGTATCTCTGTAAGGCAAACATCTATTAAGTTGTACTGTGCTACATGTCCAGACCACCTCTTGTTGGTCGAAGGTGATCTACAAAAAGTAGCCTTTGGCATTTGTTTCTTGACCGTAAAGATTTTTGTCAAGTCGGAGAAAAGAAACGCGATAAATGCGTAAACCTCTAGAAAAACTACCCCAGCAAGAAGTAAGAGAGTAATGAAGATGTCGGTTAGAGGATAGAGATGGGGATCAATATGAATACCAATGACAATCGAGAAGGCAATTAATGCAGAAACAGAGGCAAAGAAGCTGATGATGGGAAGAAAAAATCCCATCCGAGTATGATTTATGTTTGCCTTGGTGTAAAGCACATCATACATAAATCCGAGCTCAATTTCTACCAGTTTAAAGGCCTCTTTATATGCCTCTGGATTGTCTGACTCCTTTTGCTTCTGAATGATGTTGTAGCACTCTATGCGGTCATTGAAGGGCAGAATCATGTTCGCAAAGAGATACTGAAACCTCTTGAACAAAAAATAAGCTTCTTCAATATTATTAGATAACTCCGGCTTTCGGCTCAAAGTTTTTTCATACGAAATTTCTTTCGGTTCCTCCATCAGTTCCATCTCAAAAAATCTTCTTCTTTGATTCCCATAGCTATTCTCATAGCATTTTCCACAATAAGATGAGTGGAAAGCAAGTCCTCTTTAAACTGCTTGTTGCTTGCGGACTTAAGTGCATAAGTCCTTTCTCCATACTTGATGATTCCAGCAACAAATACTGGAATGAATACATATGTAAGGGATGTAATTTTGAAAGAGCGAAAGAAGACATAAATTGCCACTCCAACTTCAACAAGCAGCGGAAGAAAATGCCTTGACCACAACTCATTGTCTTCTAAAGAGTAAGCCGTGATAGTATCAGGACCCCCAAGATCCAAGAGAAGGAAGGGTGCCCAAAATGTCTGGAGTCCCATATTGTAGTGTTTTGAACAACTACTTTCATTAGTTGCTTGGATTTTAGCCAGGCTGCCTAAGGCAACAGTTGCCACCCAATCTGCTGACATATATGTTGACCAAACAACGATCTTTATCCAACTTCTTGTTCTGTATTTTCTCTGAGAACCAAATATGATGAGGATAATTTGTAAAAGAAGGCTTAGTAGAATTACCGCTCGAACTTCCCATTCGTTCCAAAGTTTGGTAACTTGCCCAGAAAATAGATCTATCAACTTCATATGTCCTTAATGATGAAACTGCAAGGAACTGAAAAACCTATTGAAAAACATTTGATGTTACTAATCAAATCTGTACTGGATAGCATTTTATGATGTGATTTATGAATATTACAAGCTTATTGTTTTGGGAGGAAAAAATCTTCTACTTCTTACAATTGAGTCTATATTTCATATAAAAATATCAGCCTTATAAATCACAAATCTTCTACTTATTCCATAATAGAAGGCTTATAGTGCTCGGCGAAAATCATACAAAAACTTGGAATGGCCATGGCCAGTGGCCACCAAGCATGGTTATCAAATTGTGTATCGTATCGTGTATCAAAAACCTAATTTTTTGAATCGTGTATCACGTATCGTATCGTATAGTAAGATACACATTTTTCAAAAAAATTAATAAAATAATCAAAATTTTCTAAAAATTAATATCATCCCCAAGATTAATTAAAGAATTTTGTTCTATTATTGACTTTAAATTACGGTATTACATAATCAAAAATTAATCACAAAATTCCAAGATCAATGTCAATATCTATATCTCTACTTATATTATTATTATCATGTAAAATGGGCAATACATATTCCTCTTCACTTTCTCCATGCAAAATGGGTAAATTTAGACAGGTTTTAGTGAATCGGGTTGGGGTGACCCTGTTTCGACCCAAATTTTTTTTTTGGATCTTTGGCCCAAATTAATAAAGTCATATCGATTTATATCGATATTTTTAAGGATACGAACGGATACGTATCGTATCGTAGGATACATATCAACGTATCGAAAGGTTTATGATATACTTTCTGATACGTATCGTTGACGACTTGTATCGAATCGTATCGTATGATACGTATCAAGTATTGTAGGATACTAACAACCATGCCACCAAGGCCTAATGGTAGCTTTGACACTGCACAAGTGCCAAATGAAAGTCATATATGTGTAAAATATAATACAGTTTTAAATTATGAATAATAATAATAATAATAATAATATATAAACGAAAGCAAAAGAATTACAAGAATATAGAACTCCATTATACAAAACAAGGGGCCACACGCCCCCATCAACTTTTTTTTTTTTTTTTTTTCAAGTTTGCTTATATTTTGGCTCTCTGCATTGGATATGTGTCCCTAATGTATATACTTATTTTGTTAGCTTTTTTATTTCATGTTTCAAATGTTTAATCCTTTCTTACATATAACCTAGCTATTTCCATCTTTTTAGAATGAATAAATTTATCTAATTCCTTTTAGCCATAAAGTTTAATTTGACCCAAAAATCTATTCAACAATATTACGGAACCCCAAAACACTATTTTTCCTAAGGGTCTAACAATTAAATGTGTGCTTTTAAGGAAGTTATTGCATCAAATTAAAGTTTTTTATTCAACTAAATGCATTTCATTGTTCAAATTCATCCCGTCTTGATGTGATTTGCCTATGGCTTAGAGTTAATGACGAAGTATAAGAAAAAGTGAGGTAAAAGGGGGGTGTGTGTGTGTGTGTATAAATTTTTTTTTTTTTTTTTTTTTTTTATATAAGAATTCTGAATTTTTGGCATTTCCTTTAATGGATAAAGTAAAAGGGAAAGAGGAGTGGAAGAAAGAAAAGCTTGTGAAGGAAGAGGGGACAGAAGGGAGTGAGAAAAAAAAAAGGAAAAGGAAATTCCTTTCATGTGTTCTTGCTTTAGCTTCCGAAACGAGGTCCCATAACAATGGAGATTCTATGTTAATAGTAATGGAGCTCAGTCTTAGAGGTCGTTTCTTTTGAGTCACTTAAACACTTAATAGGAACACCGAGCACTTAATAGTTTTATGATATATGATGTATTTTTTTTTTTTTAAATTGAAAATATCTAAATAAAATTTTATGTATTAACACTTTACTAATACATCCTTTTATTGATTATAATAGATTATATCTGGAAAGCATTAGAGAAAATTTCATCGACATATTACAGTAATAAAATTGGTATCAAAACGATTATTTTGTGTTGTTTTATGTTGCTTGAGCTGGTATTATGTCTTTTTTTTTTTTTTTTAATTGCTGTACACTTTTTTTAATTTCTTGTTTTTGTATAACTTTTATGAATTTTTGGTCTTTTTTAAAGGAGAAGGATAAAGGAAAAGAGGAGTTGAAGAAAGAAGAGCTTGTGAGAGAAGAGAGCTGGAAAGAAGGGAGTGAGAAAAAAAGGAAAAGGAAATTCGTTTCATGTACTCTTGCTTTAGATCTTTATCCGTAGGAAAAATGGTCATCAGCATGTAGATGGCGTAAGAGTTTAGGGGTAGTTTTTGATGGATTTGTAGATATATTCGTATCTGAGTGATGGTATATGAAACTTCGGGGTAGTTTCCAAAATTTGTCCGTCAAATAAATATCCATTTCCATTTGGTTGTTCAATGGGAAGCTAAGGTATAGCACATGATCCAATTAGACTTTCTTCTATTCCTCTACTGTCCAACCACCTAAAATGCCGGCTGGTAAATCAAATGTCAACCACATCCAGGAACTCTTACTCCTCCACAAAGAACTTACAACGATGGGGAAAGCTCAAAACACTCATGCAGCTGCACCCGATGATGTCCGTGAATCATTAGCAGTGAAACCTCTTGTGTACATCATCGAGGACATCTTTGAAGTGCAACCTGCCACCCCTAGTGCCGTCCCTGGCTTTGGTTTTGATCAGGTATATATATATGATGAATCTTGTCTCTATTTACTGCAGACTTTTAAGGGTGTGACTATAAATATTATACTATGTAGGGAGCAACACAAATGCAGCTAAATGTATTGGATTACAAGGCTTTCCAATTTGATCGCATGCTCGATCTCTTGTCATCTACCATCAACGAAATTTCCTGCAAGGTTTTTTACACTATGACTTTTCATTCATTATGTTATTCAATATGACAGTAAAAATCTATTTCATGTTTTTAGTCTTATACTTCGCTTCAATCAGGATGGTTTTTTCTTTTCTTTTCTCTTTTGCATTTCTGGGGATTTATATTGAGACCCAAGAACATCAACCTAAAACCTCAGTCATTGCAAAGACCACCACACCGCTAATCTTTTGCTATTACAAAAGCTAAACATCTAGAAAAGCATTGACTAGAGCACAGTCGCGTTCCCTTACCCTACCATTGTAATTTGATGGAAAATTTTTGAGATTGCACTAATTGTTGGTAGGTGGTAAAAGTATGGTGAGTAAGAAAATTAATGATAGAATGGTGATAAAAGTTTGACGAGGATGAAAATGAAAAAAAGAAAAAAGTAATAAAAGTTTTGTTTAGAGTAAAAGAAAATGGCATATAATTCCATATGAGTGTAAAAAAAAACAAAAGTTACAACTCCAACAGCGGGCGCAAACAACGGTTATTTTTTTTATTTTTTTTATTTTTTTTTTTTTTTTTGTATTTATCCATGAAAAATAAGAAAAAAAAAAATTTGTCAGACCGAGATCCTTTCCTAATCTGATCTTTTATATGAGCTTTTAAATGCTTGTGATCGGTGATTACAATATATAAATATACTTATGATTCATGTTTTAAAACCAGACCAGACTAGATAGGATTGGCCTAGGGTTGAATCAAATGAACAATGTTAAACTGTGTTTTAATCACCAGTCAGAGAACCAAATTGCATAGGAACATCCGCTCCAGGATCCAGAATTCAAAATTTTTGAGATTTATTAATTATTAGAACTTTAAAATTTTATTATGTTACGTTGATATCATAACAATGTTTCCAATCCAACCCACCGGTCGAACCTCCAAATCTGAGGACCGGTCCCTTGACTGGGTCAAAGCCTAGTTTGAGTATAAAAACATTGTTTATGATTGATAGTTACATAATAAAAATATACGAGACAATTAGATATATGTAAACAATAAATAAATGAAAATGCAAAAGCGGTATAAGATCTTTAAAAGTTCATATAGAAAAGAATCCTAATTGTTATTTGTCTTCTATTCCCTTTCTCTAACCAACCCCTTTATCTTGTCATAGGAAAACATTTGAAAGCGGCATTATGAGTTTATGACGGTCTAACTCGCCTTGACATAGTTAGGAAGCTAGGGTTTGGACAATAAAAATCGGAAAATTAAAGGAAAAAAAAAAACTTGATGACTTGAAAGTACTAAACATATATTTTGAGATGAAGAAGAAATAGGAAATCTTAGTTAAATAAAGGAAAATAGAAAATACCTTTCATATAAAGAAAAATAGAAAATCAGTAATGCTATATATAACATTCCTCAACTTGTATTGTACATCCATTTGAGAGAGGGATTCATTTTTATAAGAAGAGATTATTAAGTTCCAATTTTTACCTTTCAGAAATAATGTAAAATTTCCCCCTTTAACAGATATGCTGCAAGTTTCCTGGAGGTGGAGATCATGAACTTGCCACAACTTTGGAAATATTCAAAACCCTTAGAAGCTACGAGTGGGATGCAAAAGCAGTGCTAGCGTTGGTTGCATTTGCTTTGAACTTCGGTGAATTCTTGGTGATGCCACAACCTTTCTCCAGCAATCCACTTGTGAAATCAGTTTCACTACTCAAGGAATTGCCAGAGCCTCAAGAGAGCGTAGACACACATAAACTGAAATTTGAGGAAGTTAGCAACGTCATCAAGGCCGCGCTAAATATAACCAAATGGATTGTTGAGTTGAGAGAGTTTGAATCTCAGAACGATATCAATGCCGACCAAATGAAGATCTCCACGGCAGTTTATTGGACCATTCGAAGCATTGTGGGTTGCGCATCACAAATTTTGGCCCTCGCTGGCTTAGGATATGAGTATGCTAATCCTTTCTCTATCTTTCTTATCGTATACGTAATTTAATTGATCTGTGAAAGAAAACAAGTTAACTAACACGTACTTATTGAATTTGAACTCAACATTTCTTTAAACTACTGGATTATTTTAAACGGAGAGTATTATCGTTAAAGATTTTGATGACATGCGAGTAAAAACGAACACATGCAACACATTTATACGGTGATTTTGTTCTTGGTTATCTCAGGAAAATATCATCAATAGAAAAGGCAAGTTTCGCCAAGAATGTCAGCTTCATACACGACGGTCTTAAGATTCTACTCAATCAAATAACAGGTGACTCGTTCCCACAAAAAATTATTGAAAAGATAAGAAACAAACAGAAAACAGTTCCATGAAAAATAATTTTGATTCATTATATGACTAAATAGATAAGTAAAATATACCATTACTTGGTGTGATCAATGCAGAGCATGAAAGGTCTAATGCAGACCGTCAAAGACTTGAAACACTGAAAGCACTCATGAAAGAAGTGCCTACTGATCACACAGAGGTTATGAGAAGATTGATTTATGCTAAAGAAGATCAGCTACCTCTCCTCAAGGTCAAGGATGATACCAAGACAAGGGTTTGCTAATTTTCTCTCATTTCTTTTTTCTGAATTATGAAACATACTATCCTCACCGAATATAATGTAATTGTCTTTTATTTTGTGGTAAAAACAGGCTAGCATCGAAGTGTTGAAGAGAAGGAATGTGCTGCTCCTCATTTCAAACATGTACATTGATGAAGAGGTGTTCATCCTAGACAAAATGTATAGAGAGTTTCCTGATGATCGAACAAGGGAGTATGAAGTGGTGTGGATACCAGTTGTGGACATGTCAACCCTATGGAGCCAAGCAAAGCAAGATCAGTTTGAGAATCGCCAGTCGAAAATGCCATGGTACTCTGTGTATCACCCTTTAATGATCGACAAAGCAGTTATCATGTACATCCAAGAAGTGTGGCAGTTCATAAAGAATCCCATTATTGTGGTATTTGATCGTGAAGGGAAAGTGATCAACAGTAATGCCTTCCACATAATCTGGATTTGGGGAAGCCGTGCATTCCCTTTCACCAGCAGTAAAGAAGCAGAACTTTGGACACAAGAGATTTGGAGAATTGATTTTTTAGCCAACCATATAGATGAGGCCATTCAAACTTGGGTATTATATGCTTATTAAATAATTATTCGTGGACCTGAACGAAATATGCATGACACGCCATAATTTTCAGTTTTTCCAATTTCAGATAGAAGAAGGAAACTACATATTCGTTTATGGTGGAGGAAACATAGATTGGATCAAGAAATTCACAACAGCAGCACAGACAGTTGCGGAAGCTGCAGGCATTAAATTGCAGATCCTTTACGTGGGGAAGAAGGACCCTACGGAGCTGATTTGGGAAAACATTTCCGTGATTAATGTGGAGAAGCTTAGCCATTCATTGCAAGATCTCCCTCTGGTTTGGTTCTTTTGGGAGCGGTTAAAGAGCATGTACCACTCTAGGATGCAACTCGGCTATACAGTGGAACATGATCTTATAATGAAGGAGATTAATACGATTCTCAGTTTCGATGAAAGTGATGAAGGATGGGCTGTGTTTTGCAGGGGTTCAGCCATGGGTATGGCCAAAAGTGATACCATTTTGCAATGCTTGAGTGATTTTGAATTATGGAGAACACATGTGAAAGACAAGGATATTGTGACTGCACTCAGTCATTATCACCGTAAACTGTTATTTGAGAAAATCATGGAATCACCGCAAAAGGATAACATGAAGGTTCTAAGGAAATTGATTTATGCTAAGGAAGATCAACTACTTCTTCTTAAGGGTGACACCAAGGAAAAGGTATGCTGATTTTTTCTTTTTTCTTTTTTCAAATTAAGAAAAATTAATTTCCTGGAAAATCAATTTCACTAATTTTACTCAAAATATTGCTATATCTTATTACCATTGAAACGTAGCAATAGCAAAAAAAAGATTATTGGTCTAGACTTTCGTATTAAAACATGTTCATACTGCATGACAAAAACAGGTCAACATCGAAGTTTTGAAGAGTAAGATAGTGCTGCTCCTCATTTCAGACATGGACATCACCATGGATGAGTTACGCATCCTACAGGAACTGATTGCATATTCTGGTCAGTGTCTAAATGGGAAAGAGATTAAGTATGAAGTGGTGTGGATCCCAGTTGTGGACAGGTCAACCGCATTGGCCAAAGCAAAGCAAAATCAATTTGAGAATCTCCTGTGGAAAATGCCATGGTATTCTGTGTATGATCATTCAATGGTCGATCCAGGAGTGATCACGTACATAAAGATAGTGTGGCAGTTCAAGGAGAAACCTATAGTTGTGGTAATTGATCCGGAAGGGGAAATGGTCAACAATAATGCCTTCCACATGCTCCGGATTTGGGGAATCCTTGCATTCCCTTTCACTAGGAGCAAGGAGGCAGAACTTTGGACACGACAGACTTGGGGAATTGAGTTGTTAGCAGAAAATATAGATAAAATCATTGCCTCTTGGGTAAATATACTTCTCATATATACTTACACCGGAATTAAACTGTTACTAATTATACATTTTTGCAATTTCAGATAGAAGAAGAAAAGTACATATGCTTGTATGGTGGAGACGACATAGAATGGATCAGGAAATTCACAGCCACTGCAAAGACAGTCGCACAAGCTGCAGGCATTCCATTGGAAATCCTTTATGTGGGGAAGAGCAACCCTGAAGAGAAAATTCAAGAAAATATCTCCAGCATTTTGGTGGAGAAGCTTAGCTCCACATTGCTAGAACCCTATCTGGTTTGGTTTTTCTGGAAGCGGATAGAGAGCATGTGGAACTCTAAGATACAACTCAGCCGTGAACTGGAAAATGATCCTACAATGCACGAGATTTTAACAATGCTTAGCTTTGATAGTAGTGATGAAGGATGGGCTATGTTTTGCAGGGGAAGAGAAACAGCCATGGCTGAGGCCAAGGGTGAAACCATTTTGCAGTGCTTAGAAGATTTTGATTCATGGAAAATGAACGAAATAGAGAAGCAACAGGAACAAAATAATAATAGTTAAACAAAACAAACAGTAAACAAAGAATGTAATACGCGCGATTTACCCTGGTTCACCCAATGTAGGCTACGTCCAGCTGAGTCAATATTATTGCAATATGCCTCACCTCTCTCGTTTACAATGAATGAATTGTTCTCACTCCCATAACAAGAGAAAAGTATGTTTATATACTAGGTTTAAGAGATTAAACCTAGTTTTACAAGAATTCTTATTCCTAAGCCCAACCCAAAAAGGAATTAATAACTCAAAAGGAATCCTACAGCGGTTATACATGGAAAAGCCGCTGAAGTAGTCGACAACTCCAACAGAAAAAACATATGGAGGACACGGATTTTGTGACTGCACTCAATCATCAGCTCAACCAACTGCAAAAACCCACATCTATGATAGACATATCATATTTAATATCATAAAAAATAAGGTTTAGGATTGAATAAGGTAATGATACTACTTGCCAGCTTTTGTTACTTCAGTTGAGGTGTGAAAATAAGGTTGCGTTTATTGTTATAATAATGTAAAATAAGTTATTAAATGCATAGATATTACTTCATCTAAGCCACACATGATTATTGAATGCAAATTTCTTACATGGTTTCAGCAGCTGCTGCACACCTCATACTTTGACAGACATTGTCAATACACCTGCAGCATTAATTTATCTTGATAAACCTGCAACATTAGTTTATCTTAGTTTCGTAACAATTAGTTTTAATTGAATTATTATTTTTTGTCTAATTGTTATATTCTGTCCCTCTGAGAAGCATTTACAGCTCGGCCGCCTAAACAGAGTACTCTTAGCAAACAAATATGTTGTGTGCCTTGTTGTAGATTATTCTCCTCCAAGCCAGTAAAGGGTTACAGATTTTTGTGAATTCAGCTCAATCTTTTCGATGAAAAACCAAATTTTCCAATATTTCCTAGCCAATGAGGGGGGAAGGCCCAAAGGATTCTATGCCTTAATTTCTACTTCACGACTAGTCCCTGGAGGAGTGCCAGCTTATATAAGTGACAATTATTGCTCGCAGCTTAATCATTGTTGTCTTTTCCTACACAAAAGTGAAGAGGTGGGCCTGAGATTCTTTGCCTTAAAAGAGGGATAAATAAACTATGTTAAGCATAGGAAATAAAGCCAATAAAATGTGTGCAAAGAGTAAAGTTATACATATTGTATATGAACTCGTGAGAAACGTCTCCCTTTTGACTAAACACTAGACAGAAAAGACAATATCTGACCAACCATTGAAGATTCCTGCTGATTTATGTTGATAGGAACGTAACCTTACATGTGTGCTTCACCTCCATGCTTGTAAAATGTGGCTTTAGTGTAGGAAGCCGCAGGATCAATTAACACAAATTTGCTTGTGTAATGGCCACCTATTACCACTTAATGTGTTGTCAATTTTTGTGTATGAATCATCAATTTTGTCCTTGATTTCTAGGTCTTGGAGAAGTGCCAGCTTAAAGCAATTGCCTGCAAGCTTCCTATGTTTCTGGATTCATCTGGTAATTTTAAGGAGTATCATTCAATATTCTATATGTTTTACTGTAATAAAAGAAACAGAATCCTGGTGTTAGATGAAGCAACTGCATCAATTGACTCGGCTACAGATGCCACTCTGCAAAGAATAATTCGAGAAAATTTTCCGGGATGCACAATGATAACTATAGCTCACATATTTCCCACAATAACAGATCGTGACATGGTTATGGTCCTCTCTTATGGTATGATTCCATCCACCATGCTTATACCTAACCCAAAACTCAATAGCTCCAAACTCTGAGTTGTTTTCTTTGGTAGGTGGGGTTGTAGACCATGATGTGCCCTCAAAGCTTATGGAGTCCAACTCTGCCTTGCGCTAATTTGGTATCAGAATACTGGTCAAATAATAAGAAAAAAGTCCATGGAGAATTGAAGAATTTCTCTTGAAATTCCATAGTATATATATGCTCTATGCATATTGAAGCAACTGTTCATTCAAACTAAATGACGCCACATATTCATTCCATAGACTAATGTTTGTAAATTAAGGGACAATTGTTTATACTGACTTCAGGACGCAACACTAAAATGAAGTTTTCTGATTTCTGCTGCCACTGATCAGCAATAAGATATGAGCCTATAATTTGTTACCATTTAAGAACCAACTGCATTCTATACTATATGCTAAAAAAGCATGCATTTGGTAGCATTGTTATCTACAAGATAGAGTTGTCTTAGTATCAAAAACGTGTTGGTTGGCTCTTATAAAATAAAACGACTCCTCAAGAACTTAAGAGATTAGCACCAACAATGGGGTGAATCGGGTTAAGATGTTCTCAGTGAAAGTATTACCAATTTTGGCAATTAAGTTGAATTTATGCTAAAATGAGAACAGAAATTACAAATAAATCACAAAAAAACATAAAAATAAAAAAGCAAGTAGACACAATATTTTATCGTGGTTCGGCTGCAAACTTGACCTACATCCACGCCTCAAAGCTTTATGGCTTTGAGGATTCCACTATGAAACTTCAACCCTCAAAAGATATACAAGTTACATTCTTCTCTCAGTCTTTCAACTCTCTCGAAGTGAAAAATCTCACATTTTACAAGTGAATAACCCACATTCAAATCATATTACGAAGTAAAAAAGTACGAATACACACCGAAAGAGAAAAACTAAAATTAAAATAAAAACTCTTTCTCCTCCAGAAGGATTGGCAAATCAAGGCTCAAAGAATGAATTATATATTAGGAATCAACAGTAAGCTCTTAAAAGATGAAAAATCATGAAATGAGAAGCTATTTATAAACAATAAAAGACACAGAGAGAAAGCTTGAGTCATTTTCTAACATGTTTTCGCAAAACTCATTTTTGCCTTTCTGTCAAAAACACAGTTCCAAAAACATTTTGAAAACACTGAAGCATTAATTTTAATTCATCTTTGCAAGCCATAGATTTACCCAATTTGTACAAGTTAAAGAAGAACTAGGAGTTTCTTAAACAAAGTCTTCACGTCCATGAATCCTGCTTTCTTCCAATATACTTCAATATCTTCAGGATCCTTGAGCTTTGACGATGAAATGCAAGTCTAGTGAGAAAAAAAAATTATACCGAAGCAGAAAAAAAATTTTAAAAGATAAAAGACAGAATCGATCATGTATAGATATAAATAGAAGCTCAAAGAATACCCCTTCAAGAAGAGTATCATTCTGAAGAAATTCGTGATACATTGAACTTGCTTCTCTGCATGGAACTGAAAAATCAAAATCCAGAATTTCTTATGAAGAAAAAGGCCTTTTAGTATCCCAAATTAACAGCCAGAAGACAGTCAAAACAAACCTCTAGAAATGAGCTATCAAGACATCCTGCAGAGAAAATTTGGGGCAACTAGTGAAGCTAAACTAACATAAGCTACATAAATGACTCAACATAAGCTGCACTTCATAAATGAGATAGAAAATAATAAACAAATTGGATACAATATTGAATCTCAATCATTTAAAGTAGATAAATTTATTCCTTAATTATTCCTCTTACCTTCAGGCATTCTCCCAGCTAGTCTCATTAATGAATCTGGAACCATGGTTCTCTAGCTTGTAGCATCTTCTGCATTGTTTTTGTCAACACAATTCTCATTAACTTCCTCAAACAGAGGCACACATAAATGTATATGATAGCACAGCTATTTACTTAATTGTAACCTTTTTGTTCTGTTACTTTAGACTTATAAGCTCAGATTTTGATAATATGATATGAACAGTCCCACATTTTTGTGATATGCTTTCTGATTGAATAATACAGAATTTTTGAAGAGTGCATAGCAGTTACAGAGGTTAACTAACCAAGTTGATCTTTTGGGTGCAAGAAATACCATTTCACAACTCCTCTTTTGTATTCTTTTCACATCATTCTTCGGGTAAGGAAACAAAGACACAACATCTGATTGACACACTTTCTTCTCCTTTAGCGCTTGCATGTCTAACCTGCCCCCACTCTTACTGTGAGCAAAATACTTCACCCCATACTGGACATGTTTCTTGGTAGAATCTGTCACAAGAGAGAAACACAGTTTAGAAGAAAAATAAGGCTTCAATAATTAAAACAAGATAATCAATATAAGCTGGAAAGCATTTTTACCAAAAAGTTTCATTTCGTCAACAGGTCAAATCAAGCTATTCTCTCTTCTACATGCGGCAAAACACTAAATCCAATAAGAAACTAAGTATCTTCTCCTGTAACATTAAATATTGGAATTAGCGAGAACAATTTTGCAACATAAGACATCAATTGCTCAAGAAGTGACTGCAAGTTAATGGAGTTCTGTTACACCTCAATGGTAGCTGATAGTAAACATCGGTAGCTTTCACAAGATGTCTAGTCTGCTTACTGTTTGCCGCAGCTCGAAAAACATTTGTCTATTCAGAATCTGATGTCTGGTTTAACAAGAACAAAAGAAACACAATGAGACGAGATAAATTTTTAATGAGAAATAAGAAGAATGATTTGATGATGTGGACCAGATTTGAAGTGGTAACAGAGCATCTGCACAGATTAGAAGTTTCTGCTATGTCTGCAAGAACTGTTTTAGCAGGATGCAATACATTATTTAAAATCTCAGCAGATTGAATTTTAAAATCAAGTTTTAGAACAGATAGTAAGACAAATTTAAAAGTGATATAGATTAAAATTCAACACAGTTAAAGTATAAATGACAACTAAACAGAAAGAGAATGTGAAAGAAATTACCCGTGGGTCACTGCTCATTGTAGTCGAGAAGTCGATAGGCATCTTTCCTTTGCCTTTATCTTGAATTCGTGACTCCATGATAGGTGGGTCAGTTTCAGGATCGACATTAACTAATGAAGTGGATCTCATAGAATCATCCATAACCACGAACCCAGGAATATGAGAGACCTTGGAGAAGTCTTGTCCTGTCTTCTTGTTGTAACATTGTTTTAGAATACCACAGTTTTCGATCTCCAATTTCTCCAATCTTGGTGTTGGACGAATTATGTACTCTGGCAGTGACTTTAATTTGGGGCATGAGGAAAGTTTCAAGGAATGAAGACATGGCATGATACTTGCAACATCAAAATCTGACTCTTCCCACTCTTCCCACTCTTCCATACTCCACATAGCAAGATATTTCAGGTTGGGGAACATCAAAGATGAAGACGAAGATGATGACTTGTTGCCACTTTCTATCAAAAATTCATTCCCAACTTTTTTTACACTCGTCATATTCCATATCATGAGTGATTCAAGTGTTGATAATTCACCTAAAGCAGGCAAATACTTGAATTCAAAGCAAGACGATAGCTTTAACACCTTCAACTCGGTTAACGACAGGATCCATTTCAGGGGCATAGTTCTCCCTGTGTTATATTGTATCATTAATTCCTGTAAATTTGGAGGTGGTTCTAAGTCTTCGAAAATTCCTTCATCCTCCGCATACATCCACCCATCAAATCTTAGACCCAAACCTCGGAGCTTTGTCTTATATTTAAGTTCTGCCTTCTTAACCTCACCCACTTCACTTACATTTCCCAACCCAGTTATGAGAAGAAACCCTCTAAGGTCCTTCAAATTCTCTAGATGTGCAAGGCTACATGCTTTATTATCATCACTAACATTGCTCACAACAAATTTGCTTAATTCTCGAAGACTAGTTAATCTCTGAATTCCTCTGGGCATGTAACTTAGAGAAGTCCTATGGTTTCTTAAATGCCTTAGGTTAGATAATTTTCCCAACCCATGGGGTAGTTCTTGGAGCCGGAAACATTCAGTGACGTCTAAGGTCTCCAGATAGTGTAGCTCACATAATGTTTCAGGCAATTTTTCTAAGTTTACATTATGAGATAAATTAAGGTATCTCAAATTGATCAATTTCTTAATTCCTTCTGGAATTTCTTCGAGTGAACAAGAACTCAAATCCAACGTTCTTACACATTTCAATTTGTCAAATAAATTTGATAAATCAACTCCAATCTTAATATCAGATGCAGTTCTCTCAACAATAAGGCTACGCAATTTCTCATTATTAACATCAATAGAAGTTGAGTTCCCAATCATCATTAAATGTCGAGCTTCTTTACAATGAAGCTCTAATTGAGGCTTTGCAGGACCATCAATTTCTATAGTGCAGAACTCATTCTTTACAAGAAATATGGCAAGTTCATGCACTATAACATGCATTTTGCAACTTATTATGCTACCATCATATTCAATTGTTTCAAAATCTTGAAAGAAAGGGAGTAAGCTTTTAAAACAATCTTCACCAATTAAAACCTCATCATCCCTGTTGTCTCCCTTAAGATAACCTTGAGCCATCCACAACTTAATCAGTTTATCTTTTGTTATCTTATAGTCTCGAGGAAAGATGGCACAATATAAAAAACATTTTTTCAACATTGAGGGCAAATCATAGTAGGTTAATAATAGAGGTGGAAAAATGTTCAGTTCTACCTCTTTTAATTCCCATATTTCACTATTTAACACATTTTCCCATTCTTCAAGTTTTTTTTTAAGGTGCAAAAGACTACCTAAAGTCTTTATAGCAAGAGGCAAACCTTCACACTTTTGAACAATCTTTTTACCAATTTCTTCAAACTCACTATTGGTTTTTCCAGAAAATGCAAGTTGACAAAACAACGACCAAGATTCCTCAACGGTAAGTGTTCTTAGTGAGATTGTGTTGGTGGTTCTAATGACCCTCGCAGCACTCTCCTTACGTGTAGTCACTAAAATTCTACTTTCTAGAGATCCACACTTGAGAGTACGTTTCAAATTTCTCCAATTTTTAGGATTTTCAGACCATATATCATCTAAGACAAGAAGAAACTTCTTTCCTTCAATTTGTCGACCTATGTTTTGCATTACAATTTCTAAGTCAACTAATTGTGATGGACTATGTGTGAGAGATTCAAGTATTGTTTTTGCAACCCTGAGCTCATCAAAAGGCTCAGAAACACACACCCATATTTTTCTATCAAAATGGCTGTTCACCCTGTAATCATTAAAAGCTAATCGAGCAAGAGTTGTCTTGCCCATTCCTCCCATCCCTACTATAGAGATTATGGGGAAGGCTTGTTGTTGACTACTTTGAACCAAGAGCAAATCGACTAGTGAATTCTTATCTTTATCTCTTCCCCAAAGCTCTGTGAAATCAATATCAGATGTGGTGATTACTCGTTCTACTTGTTTGCTATCCTCGGTGATTGTTCTAAAGTTGAACCTCTCTCTCTCCACAGCAATAATATCTAATTTTCTATCAAGACGTTTTATCTTGGCGCCAATGTCATAACGCATAATCAATGTCCTACAACCGAGATAGTGAAGAATGAAGGAACATACCTTTTTCAGAGGCTTAGAAGCATCTTCAGCTTTCTTAATCTTCAATTTCTGAAGCTTCGTGTTCCATTCATCCAACACATCGTCAATGTCATAGGACACGTCTTTAAGCTTGGCTAACCAATCTCTCACAGCGTTCTCTTTCACCTGTCGGTTCTCAGCATCAGCCAGCACAGCTTTAATTGCCCGGAAGTTGCCTAGAAGCTTCTCGACTTCTCGCTCAGCACCTGCAATCAGACTTATCCCTTCTTCCGCCTGTTGACGAATGATTGAAACAAATTGTTCCAACACTATCTCCACAAGCGCTTCAGCCATAATTTAATGATGTTATGTAATTGATGAAAACAGAAATATAGAAATTGAAATGGTTGGTGTGTTTATTTTGTGGTAACTGATCAATGTTTATAGTCAGAGAAAGATAAAAGGAATCATACACAAGTTTATGCTTTAGTACTAATCGACAAATTAATGTTTATAATCACTGATTTGATTACGCGTATTAGGTGAAACATAATCTAATATTCTAAAAATTGAGATCACTGGATGGAAACATTACACCCAATCAAAAACTAGTAAATGTAGAGTAGGCACTGATTCGGCTTTAACTGGATATCACATCTTATTATGAACCAAATATGGGCTCACTGACGCAGCATCTAAGGGGCGGACCCAGCCTCTGTAAGGGTCAGATTTTAAAAAAAAAAATTCCAAAGTTTTAGCCCAAAAAAATTACACTTAAATATATATCCAACCGGGCCAGGCCTACCCCCAGATTTTATAAAAAATACATACACCTAGGCCCACATATTAATATATCTATTCCAGCCCACATCCACATCATTTAAAATTTAAAACTTTCTTTACTCTTTCTTCGCTCCACGGCTCCAGCTTCTTTTATTGGCTTTATCTTCAAATTTTTTCTCTTTCTCTTTCTCATCATGTTATTGGCTTTTAAAACTTTTGAATATTAAAGTTATTAAAGTTTTCACTATTTAAAGTATCACAATTAATTATATTTTCTATTTTATCAGTTTTAGATATATGTATCGTTCATTTTAAATTAGTTTATTTATGATTAAATCATACTTATTTATTTTAGGGTTCAATTTAGTCCAAAACATGATTATTTTTTATTTTTCTTTAGACTTGATTGTTGTTGTGGGAATTGGGATTCTAAAAAAAAAAAAAAATAGATTTAAAGTATGCTCTTCAAACTTCCTCTTTTTTGTCGGTTAGTATAACAAATCTTTTTAATTGGTATCTTCTTCAAAAGCCCAACAGTCTGAACCGAGTTTGTTTCTCTGTTCACTGTCAATTCGGAAAATATATCCTAGGTAATAAACAGAATATAAACTTTTGGTAATAAATTTTAAAACTTTTTTTATGAGAAAGTTCTTTCTCTTGACATGCCAAAGTATATATTGCATTATATTTTCTAGTTCAACTAATTCTGATTCCTTATCAAACGGAGATTGAGACTTAAAAAACTTTTTTGTGTTTATGGTTTGATCCTATAAGCTCTACTCAACTTTTTTATATATCTATGGTTTAAGAATTAAAGGACCACAGGAATCTTTCACGTGATTCCACTTGAGAGTGGCAGAGCTCAAGTGAACCAATAGGGAATTTTTATACTTACAAAGGACCAAAACTTTTTCAACAAAGCTACGGGCACCGATTATTTTGCATCGAAAATATGTACTAGTATACGTGTACCCCTGACTCACATCAACAGTTCAAACGCCTGATTTTTCTATAAATATTTTTCTAGTGAACGGTCGTCTATCAAATATTGACGAGCGTTCACTTACATGGACTCCCGTCCAAATTATATGGACGGGAGTCCATTTACTATGGACGGACGTCTCCATTTAAAGAACGCCCGTCCATAAGTAAAATGAAATAAATTTTTTTTATAAAAATTAGGGACGGTCATTCATCCGTTATGAACGGTTGTCCCTTCAATTTGGACGGGCGCCCGCAAATAAGGGACGCCTATCCTTAACTAAAATATGAAAAGAAAAAAAATAAAAAACCTTGGGGACGGCCATCCCTTACGATTTGGACAGGCGCCCCGTCCATACTTTTAAAAAAAGCAAAAAAAAAAAATTCTAAACAAAACCCTTCTTCTTCGCTCTTCTTCTTCGTCTTTGTTTTATGAGATAGGCGTGCCAAATCCAAAGGCTCCAAAGCCTAGAAAACTACATAAGCAAAATAGGGAGAGCTTAAACATTGCACCTATTTACCCAAAAATACAGTTAAAAGATAACTCTTTTTCATAAAAGCTCAACATGATGAGTCCATTTATTTATTAATACTCAGATGAAAATATAAAGAGCTGGTGTAATTTCGGTAGATGCTGCAAATTTCTGATCACCATCTTCATACACCATGTTTAGCGAGAGGGAAGGAACTCATTTTAAGAGTTATTTCCAGAAGAGCAACTTGGCAGTGAACTAGATATGAATAAATTTTAATATATCTTAAACTCTAACTATTCTTAATCCAAGCTACCCACAAAACAAGTCTTTCACAAGGCTACATCCCAGCAAGAGAAAATGTAATGGCCTTAAAAGTATAAATTAAAAGACTGATACAGGTGCCCGGTACCCGGTTTACACATGCTGCAAGCCTCTCTTTCACTATGCTTTCAGCCAGCTTCTTTCCTGAACAAATTTTTAAATGAAATATTCAGCTCAATTCCGTTGAAGAATAGAAAATTAAAAAACGATGACGTGCTGCCAAATAGAATAAGGAAATAATACCTGCTTCTTTGTTAGGTACAGTAACGTAAACTACAATACTCGGTACAGTGTCGTTGTTCCCTTCCATTTTGATGGCGTTAAAGCTCTTTGATGGTGTTTTAGTACCAAACTTTGATCTAAAATTACAATTATGTAAATGCTAACAAGCGATAATTCAATTACAATAAAACTGCAGAGAAATTGATTCGAAATTTAAGGTATGTACCTCAAAAGAGAAATTGTTTTCCTTGTTTTGCTTCTGTAGTTTTCTGGGCTTTAGAGCCTTTGGATTTGGCACGCCTATCTCATAAAACAAAGACGAAGAAGAAGAGAGGAGATGGGGAATGAAGACGAAGAAAAAAAAAGGAGATGGGGAATGAAGACAAAGAAGAAGAGTTTTGTTTAGATTTTTTTTTTTTTTTAAAGTATGGACAACCGTTTACTAGAAAAATCAAGCGTCTGGACTGCTGGTGTGAGTCAGGGGTACAAGTAGGTCAGTACACATTTTCGATGTAAAATAATCGGTGTCCGTAGCTTTGTTGAAACTTTTTTCTAGTATCAATATAATCTTTTAATCACCTAAAAAATAATAATTCCTTTAGTTGTCCTTCAAAATATCTCTCCGTGCCGTTAATTAAGAATGCTAAATATCTCCGGCCGAACGACTTATACCTACCCAAGGTTTGGCAAAACGACATATTGGTATCCAAAAGGTTTCAAAACGACAAACGAGTACCTTCCGTTAGTGAAAAGACTAGAATGCCCTTTGAGAAATATTAGTATTTTTTTAATTACTTTTAGACTCCTTAAGTTTATTAATTCTATCAAATACCCCTAGAAAAAAAGTTTAAAAATTAATAAAAACACCTCCACCCACCCATACTGGCAAAATTTTGGTGGCCACCGCTGGTGGTAGCCGAAATTTGTCACAAAAGTCTACACCACCACTGGAAATGGCCGGTAATTCACCGATCTGGCCTTTTCCGGCTAGATCCACAGTGGATCTGGCTAGAAAAGGCCAAATCTGGCGTGAAAATGCCAGATCTGGTCAAAAAGTGACGGCCAAAGAAATAGACGTCGTTGACTGTCAACGATGGTCAAATCTTGGCCATCGTTGACAGACAACGACGGCCACATCTTTGGTCGTGGCTGACGACCAAAGATGGAGTGTTGCGGCCATCGACGGCCAGATCTAGCCGTAGATGTGGCCTTTTCCGTCCATATCCATGGTGGATCTGGCCCAAAAAGGCCAGATCGGTGAATTACCGGTCATTTTCGATGGTGACATAGACCGTTGTGATAGATTTCGGCTACCACCAGCAGTGGCCGCCAGAATCTGGCAAGATGGGTGGGTGGAGGTGTTTTTGTTAATTTTTAAACTTTTTTTCTAGGGGTATTTGATGGAATTAATAAACTTAAGGGGTATAAAAGTAATTAAAAAAATAAAATAATATTTCTTAAAGGGTATTTTAGTCTTTTCACTAATAGAATGTACATGTTTATCGTTTTGAAATCTTTTGGGTATCAATCGTCGTTTCGCCAAACCTTGGGAAGGTGTAAGTCGTCCCTTATCTCCTAATCACTGATTTGATTACACGTATTAGGTGAAACATTAATCTAAAAATTGAGAAATTGCAAGTTGCTAGTGTGAGTGTGAGATTTCGTTAGTTTATTGCATGCCGGCTATTGTATATTATAACTGACGCACCGGTCGCTTAAGTGACAGATAATACCAGTTGTGTGTTTTTAAATATTTGTCGCTTGGTACCTCAGGCATCATCGAAGTCTGCAGTCCCTAACAACTATCCATTTTGATTCTGATTTCATTAATAATTTATTCCGAGATGCTATCATTCTAGCTGTCAATGGAAAAATATCTTTTATGCGCTGGCATTTTCCAAAAAATTGAGGTCATGATGCATTAATGGAGTACAAATGGTGAGATCACAGCCATTTGTTCTTTACAATTTTGCAATTAACTAACAGTGTTAGCATCCAGGGGTAAATTACGATGACTATTTGCAAAGTTAGGCGTAGTATCTGATGCTTTCTACAAAGTTATAATCCTTCTGTGATTTTTTGAAACTCCAGGGGTAGTTTGAAAATTTGTCTGTGGCAACAACTTAAATAATCATAAATCAAGGACTACCTCCCTAATGTTTGAGGAAACATAAATTAGACTCAGAAAAAGTATTATAACTAATCATGATCTTCCGTTATATTTAGTAAAATAGTCTTACCTCCCTCGACTCTTACGTAACGGTATAAAAACTGATCGAAGTGATGCCGTTTTCTTCCCTTTTTCACAACTTTTTTTCTTGCAAAACGTGAAACAATTGTTTACAAATAGAAAATATTTTCATAAAATGAGAACGAAGGATTTGCTTGAGTACTCTCTTGGCTTACACAATTTTAAGGAAACAACCAAAAATTGCTTCATGGAAATCATTCTCTAAACTTACACTTTTACAAATGCAACAAAACATTATTCTTTTTCTTTACTTTCTTTTCTTTAATTATATCTTCACTTTACATTGCATAAAAACAAAAATGTTTTTGTTATATTGTTTT